TCCTCTCCAGACACCCCTTCCCTCCCCTTTACTTCTGTTTGTTTTTGGGATTTTTGTTTGTTTGTTTTATGATGTGGGGGTCTGTGTATGTTGCCCAGGCTGGAGTGCCGAGCGCACTGGCTGTTCACATCGTGATCTCTGCTCACTGCAACCTTCGCCCCCACTTCCCCCGGGCTCGAGCAATCCTCGCACCTCAGCCTCCTGAGTAGCTGGGACTGCAGGCACCTGCCACCACACCTGACTTCTCCCCTTCACTTCTTGACCCACTGCAATCTAATTTCTCCTCCACCTTCAACAGAGACTGCCCTTGTCAAATCATAGCTGATCTCCTTTTTTACTAACTCCAGTGGATATTTCTCAGAATTTACCTCCCTTGACCTCTCAGCAGCATTGGAAAGCCAAGGATGACTTTCCATTTTCTTTTTCCTTAGCCTCCGTGCCACGGCCCTCTCCCGGATGTTCACTTCCCTCTCCGGCTCCTCTGCTCCGTCTCTCGTGCAGGCTCCTCTTTCTTGGATCATTCCTCGAATGTGGGTACTCCTCAGACCTCTTCCTTGTCTCTCCTAGCCAATACATTCTACTTAGAGGAGTTCTGCTCCTGTGCCTTCATGACCAGATCCACGTCTCCAGCCTGATCCTTCTCCTGCACTTCACACTCTTAGGAGTATTAAGTCTGTGGTTTGATTTTACCCCACTTGTAAGCTAGTAAGTTAGCTTGTTACTGTTCCATGGATGTTGGCACAAGACTTGAGACTCTTGGGTCAGTGACAAAGGACTTCATTCCTCTTGGCACAGCAGGCAACATGAGCATCAGCTTGTGGGTGACAGTTTCTCCTGCCCTCACCTTTTCCTGGTGATGGGCCCAGCTGGATGCCTGCACAGGCAATGGTTGGCATTACAAAAAGGGAACAGAGCTTTCAGAACAGAGAATTTCAGGGAACAGAACAGGGGATATCTACTGCTTTTATAGCAAGCAGGAAGCAAGCCTGCTCTTTGGCCTGGAGGGAGACATGGCGTCATCTCTCGAGGCTGCTCACTGCGACGTAACCCTGAGAGATGGCCAGGGTTTTCATGGCATACCCAGCAAGAACAAGCATGTTGGAAATTCAGCACGTGCCAGATTGAACTCTTCATCTCCCTCCACCCAAACTTGTTTACTTCCTTTTAAAAATTTTATTTTTATTTATTTTGCACATGTATTGGTATTTCTTTTAGAGACAGATCTCACACTGTCACCCGGGCTGGAGTACAATTGCAGGATCATAGTGCACTGCAGCCTTGAACTCCTCGGCTCAACCGATCCTCCCATCTCTGTCTGCTGAGTAGCTGGGACTACAGGCACATGCCACCACACTCAACTGCTTTTGAAAATGTTTTGTAGACATGGCGGTCTAGCTCTGTTGCCCAGGCTGGTCTCAAAATCCTGGCCTCAAGTGATCCTCCCACCCTCAGCCTCCCAGAGTGCTGGGATTGTAGATGTGAGCCACTGCGCCTGACCTGTTTCTCCTTCTGTTTTCTGAGCTCAGTGATTGATGCAGTCCTTGATATTGGTAACTCATTACCAACTGATAAGAAATTCTTAACTCTTCTGACCTTCCGCTCCCTCATGAAGTCTGACGACTCCTTCCACCTCTGTCTTAGGTTCATTTGCTCTTCTTGCCCCTCGCTGCCTATCCCTGGGTCAGACTGTGCTTCTCTTACGTGTTTAAGACAATTATAGCCTTTTATCATCCAGCCAGAATATTCATTTTATGAAGTTCTAAGTTGTTTTATTTAAAAATGTTTTTAGAGACAGGGTCTTGCTGTGCTGCCCAGGCTGGAGTGCAGTAGCCATTTACAGGTGTGTAATAGCTCACTGCAGCCTTGAACCCGTGGCCTCCAGCTGTCCTCCTGCCCCAGCCTCCCTAGTAGCTGGGACTAAGGTACTTAATTTAAAATGTATGTATTCATTTGTTTGTAATACAAACGATTCAAAAGGTAGATGGTGAAAGGACTTCCTCCAGCCTTTGCCCCTGCCACCTGCTCTCTCCAAGGCATTCTCCACCCTCCAGTGAATGTTACCAGCTCTTCGTGTATCCTGTCAATACTGTACCCAAGGTAGACATTTTATACTCAGGTTACTCAAGTACCGTAGATGAGATTGTGACACAAATTTCCACACCTTACATTTGCTTAATACTTTTTTTTTTTTGAGAAAGACTCTCACTCTGTCGCCCAGGCTGGGGTGCAGTGGCGCCATCTCGGCTCACTGCAACCTCCGCCTCCTGGGTTCAGGTGATTCTCCTGCCTCAGCCTCCTGAGTAGCTGGGAGTGTCTCAGAGAGGAACAAGGAGGCTTCTGTAGCTGACGCAGCACAGTGTAATTCTCACTTTCCCCTTCTCTGCTCTCTTCTCACAGTCTGACTCCTGATGGAAGCTCTTCCCTAGAAAAGCCCTGTGCAGAAAGAGTTTGCATAGTATATCACTTTCCATTTTCTGTTAGCCACATTTTTTTAAGTAAAAAAGAAACAGGTTGTTGAAAGAAAAACTTTAGACGAATGGAATTTAACGGAATTTAATTGAGCAAAGAATCATCTGAGAATCAGTTCACCTCTCCAAGAAAAGGGAAAGTGACGTGCGGGAAATGGAAGCGAGGTGCGGAAGCAGCTGGCCTAGTTACAGCTCGAAGTTGGCCTCTTCTGAACAAGGTTTGAAGCGTTGGCTGTGATTGGCCGAAACGCTGTGACTGGGGCGTGAGTAGGTTATGTCTGTTACAACGTCCAGTTAGGCTGCAGTTCACTATATATGCAGAAACCTCTAGGTCAAGCTTAAAACATGTAAGGAGTCAGCTTTAGGCTAAACTTGTAGGTTGGTGCAAAAGTAATTGCAGTTTTTGCCCTTTTAATGGCAAACCCACAATTTCACACGAACCTAATAATTTAACACAACTAAAATTAATTTTAACAACGTATCTTATCTAACCCAATGTGTCTAAAATGTTATTTCAACATGTAACCAATATTAAAAACTATTAATGAGCTATTTTGCATTTTCTTTTTCATACTAACCTTTTGAAGTCAGTGTGTATCTTACACTGGCAACACATGTCCATTTGTAGTCATCACATTTCAAATGCGTAATCGCTAGATGTAGTTGGTGGCTGCTGTTTGGTCTAGCGCGGGCCTAGAATTTGTCTTTTCCCCCATCTTGTCCCCTTCAAAAATCTTTTTTGTTTTTTGGTAATTAAAAAATCGAGATACCATGGTTGTACATATGTATGAGGTCCATGTGCTATTTTGATAACTGCATACAATGTGTAATGGTCAAGTCAGGGTAATTGGGGTATCCATCACCTCAAATGTTTATCTTTGTGTTGGGAACATTATAATTCTTCTCTTCTTGCTGTTTTGGAAATAGAATAAATTATTGTTAACTGTAATTTTCCTACTGTACTATCAAATACTAGAACTTACTTCTTCTATCTAACTATATTTTTGTTCTTATTAACCCAATTTCTCTTTGTCCTCCTTTTCCTCTTCCCTTCCCAGCCTCTGGTAACCACCATTCTACTCTCTACCTCCCTGAGACCAACTTATTTAGCTCCAATCAGTGTGAGAATGTGAGATTTGTGTTGCCCTGCTTCGAAACTCTTGCCTGCAGTAGGTGTGAGAGTGTGCGATTAGCCGGGCGCGGTGGCACACATCTGTAGCCCCAGCTACTTGGGAGGCTGTGGTGGGAGGATCACCTGAGTTTTGAGAAGTCAAGGCTGCAGTGAGCCGAGATTGCATCACTGCACTCTAGCATGGGCAACGAAAGTGAGACCCTTTCTAATAATAATAATAATAATAGTAATAATAATAATAATAATACCTTTGCTATATGAAAGAAAAAAAAACAAGAAAACAGGGGAAACAAGGAAATATACTTGACGTGAGGATAGTACATGTTTTGTTGGCCCTTCATTTATTAAGAAGAAAGATCAGTAAGTGAAAAGAATCCTATATTCCATAGTTACTGACTTTAGATTTTACTTTTTTTTTTTTTTTTTAGATTTTACTTTCAAGTTGATACTCATTCTGCAACCTCTTTCAGTGAAGAAATTTAAAATTCTTATTTAAAATGTTTTCTTTGTAAACTAGGGAGTAAATATAATACTGCTAAAATTATCCAGAATGGTAAAGAAATTAACTATTCTAGTTAAGTGAATACTTGTGAAATTAAATAAACTTTCAAACATTACAACTTTAATTTTAATACTTTTGAATGGAAGTATTTCGTAATCAATTACACATCCCCTGTCTTAATATTCAGAGAGTACTGAATAGCATCTATACTTTTCTTAGGTTATTTGTGGAATTGAACTACATTATGATGGGGGCAGGGAGAGGTGAATAACTAATATTTATTGAGTAGCTGCTCTGCCAGGAGATGTGCTTTGTTTTATGATAGCTCTTCTTATTTAACCCTTAGTGTGTCCCCCATCCTGGTTCTTAGTGTTTGAAGGAAGTCACTGTGTTTTACCTACCAGGTAGGCTTATGTGCACATTGATTAGGTAGGTGACTTCTCCAATCCAGTAAGTCACAGAGCTGGGATTTGAACCCTAGTGGTTTGGTGCTAGAGGCCATGCTTTTAACACTCTGATACTAATGTCAACTTCACTGCAAAACTCTGCGGTAGACATTATCATCCCCATTTTACAGGTGTGGAAACTGAGGCTCAAAAGAGTTAAGTAACACTTAAAGTCAGTCAGTACATGGCCAGCGTTTCTTTTTCTTTCTAGAACTTTTTTATATTGGCTCAGGCAAGGTGTTTGCCAGTCAATGAAGCCATTTCTTTCATATTTCTTTGGTTCACTTAGCTTCCTTTTTCTTTCCCCAGAAAATATCTTTTATAATCATGAGACAATATTGGAGTGATTTGGTTTCCTATGTTACAAAATATGCTCTGAGATAATTTGGAGAAACATAGCCTTTTCAGAGTTTATTTTCTAAAACCATTGAAAACTTTTTTTTTTTCCCCAGAGAGATTGGAACAATTATCAGGTCATTAGGATGCTGCCCTACTGAAGGAGAGCTGCATGATCTGATTGCAGAGGTGAGTAGGGTGAAAAAGTTTCATTCAACCGGCTCACTGTGTGACAGCTACTCCTTGTAATTAAAAACAATCCTTACCTGAAACTAAAAAAAAATGCCCTGAACTACTGAATGTGCTCAGTGGAAATACTAGGGTAACTATTCATATTAGCCAACCAATAAAATCTGAAAGAGTTAAGAGCAGATCTTGAAGAAATGACTATCAACAAGTAACACAACTGATCAAATAAAGAACCCACTGTGGAAATGATCCTCCCTGTAAAATCAGCTGAAGACAGGTCAGTAGATGCACGGGGCTGACCGTATGCAGAAAGGCTATTGGCAGAGGCAGTAAGGAGTTTTTATTTATTTGGGGAAATAAAACTAACGTTTAGAACAAATGGTAAACTGAATAAAATATTAAGAATGAACTTTACGTTGACCAGAGAGTCTAAGAATTTTAAAAACGAGTCATGCGTAATAGTGGAGATGAGTCCGTGAAGAGAAGGATCGCATAAGGCAGTGGATGAGCAGCCGAGATGGCAGCGCTTCATGCTCCGTTTGACTTTCCAGAAAGGTCTCTGATCTCGTTTCAAATGCAGCATTTGGTTCAACAACAGAGACTTTAAGGGGGAACAAGCTACCTGGCCAGGAGAAGAATCTTTTCAGAATTGCTTATCTAGGCACGAAGATTTGGGTGAAGTCTGGGGATGGCAAAGGGGATAAGAGAGACAGGGAAGGAAGTGGAATTTTATCTGTTTATTTTGCACCTAGCACAGTACCTGCTTGTTCAATATTAAGTTGGAGAGAAGGAATTGTGACCGTAGTGAGTCACTTAACCCCTGTTGAGTATCAGTTTCTCCATAATAATAACTAGTTCAAAGTTTGCTTCAAAGATAAATGAAAGAAGGTACAAGAATACATGTTTTGAATCCTAAAGCATCATATAAAGTTAAGGAATGGAAGATTAGAAAGATGACTCTGCTGCACATATATTACCACCTTGGTGACCAAAAAGCAGTAGCAATGTTTTTAAGCATTTGGAAATGTTCGGTAAGGAATCTAAGTTGTAAGAACACATTGTTTCTACCTTTTGGGGTTCAATAAAGCTGTTTTTACCAAGAGTAAGAGAAAAAGCTTGTTTTTCCTGAATTGGTACTCACATTAAAAAAAGATACTGATTGCTGCCTTAAAGTGTATCTGTACAAAGCTGGAACTAGTGTTAGGGAGAAGCAAGCTGGCACCGTGGAAGAGATAAGAACTAGAGGATGAATTTACAGCGAAATCATCATCATCACATGCTCAGGATAGTAAGTGGAGCAATAATGAAAAATACCTCCGAAGGTCAGAAAAGGAGGATCTCTAGAGTCTAGTCCCTTTATGGTTTGTTTGTATGTTTTAATCGCTATCAGGAGTTAGCAAATCATGGCCCCTGGCCAAATCCTGCCCACCACATGTGCATATAAATAAAGTTTCACTGAAACACAGCTAAACTCATTTATTTGTATATTATCTATGGTTGATATAGAACTACTGACTACACGGGCAGAGTTCAGTAGTTGCAACAAAGAACCTACGGCTTGGAAAGCTCAAGATATTTACCATCTGGCATTTGCAGAAAAAGTTTGCCAACTCCTGATCTATGGGCTTCTGTGCCAAAGTAGACCAAATACCACATCTAATACTAGAAGATCTGAGTTCAAACTCCACAGTTACAACTTAGAGCCATGTGGCCTTCCATGAGCCACTTAATCCTTCAAAGCTTGGTTTCACATCTGCAAAAGGAGTGTAATAATATGAAAGTGTTTTTATGAGGATTAAATTTAATAACCGAGGAATCAACTGTTACTTGGTGGGCATGTAGCACATACTTGAGTTTGCTTGCACTGCAGGTGGCTCTCTAGGATAATATCTCCACTGGTTTGGGCAATTAGCCACAGTGGGTGCTTAGGTCCTAAAGTTTTATTTTATTTTTACCGTTTTTTAGGGACGTGACACAACCTTTGAGAATTACAGATATTTAGAATACTTATTTACCAATAGTGGCCACTGAGCTATTAAGCTCTGTAAATATTTTTCTGTATTTGTATACCAACACAATTTACTCTAATTAAATTATACTGATAAACAGCTTTGGGTATAACTACCTTTTAAAGAACTTTTCTAAATAAATGAGTGGGAAAAAAGCACATAAAAAAGCACAAATTTGATGAATACAAGTATGTATTTGTACATATTTAAATATATTTAATAGTGAATACATATAAACACATTTAGAAAATCAAAGCTCCATAAAGTCAACATCTAGGGGTAAATGTCATATTGCTAAATGTTCTGTAATAGTTTCAGAGATCAAACTATTTAAATGTATGTTTGTATATGCTTTAAAATTGTTCTATAAGGTTGGGGGCAATAGCTCACGCCTGTAATCCCAGCACTTTGGGAGGCCGAAGCAGGTGGATCACTTGAGGTCAGGAGTTTGAGACCAGCCTGGCCAACATGGTGAAATCCTGTCTCTACTAAAAATAGAAAAATTAGCTGGGTGTGGTGGTGCACACTTGTAATCCCAGCTACTTGGGAGGCTGAGGGAGGAGGATCACTTGAACCCAGGAGGCAGAGGTTGCAATGAGCCGAGATCGTACCACTACACTCCAGCCTAGGTGACAGAGCAAGACTCTGTCTCAAACAAACAAACAAACAAACAAATTGTTCTATAAAAAGTTGAAACCTGTGTAAAATTCTCTGGTTGTCATGTACTTGAACTTTAGTGTAGACACATTCTTTTCTCTTCAATTTTTTTTAACTTTCAGCCCTTTGCTTCCTGAAGATCAATTTCAAATCTGGTGTTTCTCTTGAAATAGATCATTTTAAAAATCATTTAACTTTGATCCATACAGTTCATATTGTATAAATAGCAACTTCCTGTAAATCCTTTCTGCCTTTTGGAATATCACAAAAACGGGCAACTGTGAGAAGGATTAGTGAAAAATCTTACTGTCATGTAGGCTACCAAATAATCCTTCTTTTAATATTAAGTTAGAGCCTTCTAGGGTCTTCAGGGTATGGGAGCTGGAAGGAGATAATGGCATTTTCATACAAAATGGAAAGGTTATTTAGAGGTCTATGTCTTTTGAAGGTCCAACCTAAGTGGAATTATGGAGAACTTAAACTAATTACAAAGAAGAACTAAAAGATGATTTAAAAGTAAGACCTGTGTTGGTCAGATTATTGACTCAGGCTTAGGAACTAAGCATGGATTATGACTTTTTATTGGGGTGACCATCTGCAGCCTCCACTTCCCCATCCTTGCCCTTTTTTGGTTGTAGATGTTAGGCAGCACCTCTGTTGGCTGCCCATCTGTTTTGGTCCTAAGCATGCTATGTTCTATTAACCATCTCCACCTTTCCCCTTGACTCCCTCTTCAATCTGTCTGCTCATAATATGAGGCCTCTTAACTTCTGTGCTCAAACAACTCTGCTTGGCCTCTGTTACCTGGGTATGGAAGAGCTGGCTAGCAAATCATTCCATGGATTTAACAAACCCAGGTCTACAATTACCTAATCTAGTCAACCCTGGCCTGCAGAAGACACCATCACAGACTTAGTGACACCAGTGCCTTTCTCACCAGCCTGATGCCCTTGGTGAGCAGTGCGTCTGCGCCCTCCCGTGGAACAGAATCCTCCGGTGAGTCTTCTGACTCATTATGTACCCATTCTGCCCTCCCACTTCTGCCAGCGCAGTTTGCCACTTCACTCAGGGTTTGGTGTCACTCACCTGTTCCAGGTGTCACCATAGCAGCAAGTTAGCCCCATCTCCTAGGGTCCTTGCCAGAGTGTTAAGTCTGTATTCTGAGAAAGTGCCTGAAGTTGATGAATTCTTGCTTATCCAGTTTTATATTCCAGGCCTCTTGGTCAAGCACTCTCATCCAATCCCAGGGGTATTCCCCTAGCTCCTACTTCAGGAGCCAATTCCTACCTAATTCCTTTTGCTATTTTAGTGTATAGTCTTTTTCTTTCCTTATTAGGCCCACCTCTCCCTCAGCCAGATTATGCTGGGATGTAACACTTCATTATTGCCTGGAGCAGCCCATCGGAAGGATGGCCTTGGCTCAAATATGATGGCTAGGATCATCATTCAACTACATTTCCTGCAATTGTAGATTTAAGAGGTTCATTTCATTGGGAGGCTGAGGCGAGAGGATTGCTTGAGTGTAGGAATGAGGCACAATCGTGGCTCACTGCTCTCCAGCCTGAGTGACAGAGCCAGATCTCAACTCTTTCTTTTTTTCAGATGGAGTCTCGCTCTGTTGCTAGGCTGGAGTTCAGTGGCACGATCTCGGCTCGCTGCAACCTCCGCCTCCTGGCTTCAAGTGATTCTCCTGCCTCAGCCTCCCGAGTAGCTGGGATTATAGGCACCTGCCACCACCATGCCCGGCTAATTTTCGTATTTTTAGTAGAGGTGGGATTTCACCATGTTGGCCATGCTGGTCTCGAATTCCTGACCTCAAGTGATCCACCGACCTTGGCCTCCCAAAGTGCTGGGATTACAGACGTGAGCCACCATGCCTGGCCCAGATCTCAACTTTTTTTTTTTTTAAAAAGGAAGAAAATGGAATTTTCATGGCTGCCATAGTTGTCATCTGGAAGAGCTGTAATGCGAACCAGGTGTTCAGTGTCCGGTAGAATATGGCCAAAAGGAGTTGGCTGCTCTGTCTATTTTATTTCTAAACTCATTAGTGCCTACCCCTGGCTTTCAGGATTAGATCAAAGCATAAAACTACTTGGAATGAAATGAAGGTCCTCATCAGATGCAAGGAGTGGGGCAAGAGTGAGCAGAAACGTGACCAGCACATGGTAAAGATAGGTCAGTGATAGATAAGAACTGGGCCAGGCTTACCCTGGAATTCTGTTCTTGGATAAAAAGAGGATACCATGGCAGGGAGACCATGGTAATGATAGTCCTTAACAAAACTGTCCCTTTACATGTGATGGTTGACCTCGACATCTGTGCACAGCCATCATT